GATGTAGAATGGGTGTAAACCACTGGATTAGCAGCAACTGAGGTATGCAGAACTGGAATATTCTGAACTGGAATATTTACCTGGAGTAGAGAAAATAATTCACTGTCATCAAAGTAAACTGTTCATTACCAGAGCAGTATTCAGTGCATGTAGTTAAAGAAGCTTACCTCTTAATACTGTACATGAAGTGTCTTTATTTCTGTGAAATTCACACACAAGCCAAGGTTTTGGACCATAAAGAAATTTTCTTAGTAAAACTGAAATTTGAGTATAAGTAGTAAGCAAGCTTTGAAGCATGCTATTTTTGCAGTTAGTTTACTGAACAAACACTTCCTAAGCATTATTTTATGTTGGTTAAAAACAAACAAACTGGGGGCCATGTTACCCAATGGGTTTTTTAACTAAACTGCCTTGCATGTTTGTTCCAATTTAAATTTTCAGTAACAATCCTACCTCAGAGATTACTTGTTTCCAATACAAAGCAAGCATCACTGTTAGCTATGAAGTGGGTGTGTCCAATATAGGACAAGATTGTTTTACAAAGCTGTGGCGTAAGGCAGTGAAATTGCAGGAAAGGTTTCCATCAGCAGTGGGGTCACCACACTGTGCAGCCGCAAACCTTAAAGAAACCTGCCTCCCAATCTTTCAATCCTCTTAATATTTTAAAAGCTCTTACTAGCCACAAATCTTTTCTGTTCTTCGCTGTCAGCTTAATTCAGTCAAGCAAATCTTAACAAGCTCATATTTTACAGCCTAAATAGGGCTAAAGGTACAATGAAATCCTTCAATATTTAAGAACCAGTTTATTTACAGCAGAAGCAATAAAAATTCCCAAAGGGCCAATGACTTAGGAAGTGGGTGTTGGCTACTTCTCTCTATGGCCCTTAGAATATGTTTTCTCCTCTATCTCCCAAGGACTGCGAAACCAAAGACTTAGAGCAAGGAAAAGAAGAAAGTAAAGAAGTTCAATGTTGCTACTTGGTAATGAGTTTTCTGATAGAGGCACGCTCTGGCTGGAAGGAATTGTTCTGTTAGAGAAATCAACATGCAAAGTTTTGGAGCCGAAGTCCTTTCTCCCTTAGCAATTCATATGTACAAGCAATCTCCACAGTTGCTCTATATGCTGCACAGAGTTTTCATCACACAAGAACTATGGGCCTTTCTAGACCAAGGGAAAGATCTTGCAGAAATAACAGTTGCATTTTCCTACCTGACATTGGATTCCTATTATTGTGAAGGACAGTACCTTAGAAAGAGGTCATCTGGAAGAGAGGTCTTCCATTGTTTTGCTAGGTCTTGAAAAGCTTTGTCCAATATGTCCCAGAGAGATATTGCCTCTTAAAGGGCAGCCTCTACTTTGCTTAGGAGTTCAACTCCCCTGACTCAATTCAGAACCACTGCCCCATTCCCAAGCTGTTGAAAGGGTAAATTTTTTCTTCAAACAGGACAGACTGATGACTCTTCAGTCAATATTACTCTTGTATCTGCTAGTGTTGTAGGAGGACTTAAACCTTACTTTTCTTCTTTTTTTTAAACCATACCTACTAACTAGGAATAAGACCAAAGTTTCAGTGCAACGTTTAGCAATGTTGTAGTTGTACCTAATTCAGTTTGTAGTCAACGAAACCCCTTTAGACATTTGGCCTCATCAAGAGAAATAGAAGTGGTTCTAACATGAATAGTGGGCTTGTAGAGTGCATTCTGAGACTATGCCCCAAAATTAGCCTTTACATCTTTGGAGGCGTGTCTGATTCTGGTCTCCCTTTTTATCTAGGACACTGACAAACTACAATGTGGGAGCATAGGAAATGCATGGTTGATCCCTGGTGGTGATCGCGTTCTGTGACTTCTCCACAGTGGACTGATTCAGATCTCAGGTCACATCTTCAGTGATGAAGGATAAAGCCGCCTGAAGCAAATTCAGCACAATTCTTCCACAAGGAACTTCAATATTCCCCCCTCCTAAAAAATGGATGAGCACAGACATCTTCCATGTTATCTGCCTACCATTTTTGCTATCTGCAGGGCAGAAGATAGAGTGTTTCTTGTTATGGCTCAAGACCTGCAGAAGAAAAAAGATTCTCCCCCCACCCCCCTTTGAATACCCTCCGCACACCATTATCTTCATTTACATAATATCCTATTGCTCATGGCAAACTGCACAGATTTGCCCATCACTTCATGGACCTGAGCCAGAATGGAGGAAATTGTCCATCGACAAAGCCATAGTAAACCTTTATACTAAAGGTAGACAATCTAGATCTCCCACCCCTTGCACCAAGACACGAGTAAGCTGAAAGCAACCGAGATACAAAAGGAAGAATTGACTAAATCTTGCATCCAGTTGTGTACCCAGGGTTTCTCTGTTTGTAGTGAGAGAGAGACACCAGTCAGATGAGAGACCACTTGAAGAAAGTAAGACAGACACAATATGTAATGAGTGCAGGTTCACTGAATTACCAAGAATCCTGCAGAGTTTTCCTTTACTCTTCATAATGAGCTCCTACCACCAAGCAGGATGACATCACTGATTCTGAGAGTCTAGAAGGAGGTTAAGACTTTGCTCTTAAATACTCCTGTTTCTCCCAAACGAGGCAACAGCAGACACCAAAATCCATCAGCAGTCATTCGCTCACAGGTGAATGCCCCAAAACCAGTGTGATGAAACATTTTAATCTTGGCAGGAGAGGAAAATCCTAGGGCCCTCAGAAAGTCTCTCTCAGTCAGTTAAATAACATGCCTGCAACTGTTTGGTTAGAAAAATCCACATTTTAACAGACTCCCATGTACAAAGCAGTCAACACACAAACTTTGACTAATCACAGCAACAAAAGGACAATTCTTTCTTTCTTTTTTTCTTTTTTTAAAGGGCAGGGGTCTGGAAAAAATACAGTACACTAATGAAACAAAATGCAAAAAAATACAAAAAAATAGAAAAAATGTATTTACAAGTGGTACATTACTATGATCAGAACGCACAAAGACAACTGCTGCTATAATACATGCATTGGGTCAAGAAGGAACTACTAAAAAACCTGTAAGAGAAGTTCATTAAAAAAGAAAAGGGTAAGGGTTTAAACTTTTTTCTTCCCTAGTTTGCTACATTGATCAAAAATCAAATACTCCCCTAAAGTCCATGAGTACAATCAGTACAAATACTACACTGGTTTTTAACTGTGGGTTCAGCTGTGGAGGGGGAAAAAGACAGCAGCTTATCGTAGAGTCATATACAAGAAAGCCATAGTAAACTGCTCTACATGCTAAAAATTACAGCAAGCCCCTGACTGCTACATAGCATGATCTTAGCAGGTTTTCTTTTTTATTTATTCATATATATATCTATACGCATGTGTATGTATATATATGTATAAAAATCGTGTGCCCTTGCTCACTGCAACATGACATCTGGGTGGAAATGTAACGCGCTACAACAAATTCTTATATGTATACTGCAATAAGTCACTCAATGTCTGTGGATTTAATAGGTCACCTCACACCACAGGAAATATTTAATAAATCAAAAAAGAATATAGCGATAGAGTTTGTCTCCATTCTCTCCAAAACTGAAGTCCAGCAGGAAACTGGTCCCAAAGTATTTGGGGGCTCTCTGAAGAAACTCCAGTTTGCTTAATTGTTTTTCCTTTTAGTGTTCACAAGTTTCTGAACGACTTTATGCCGTTTTCAGTTTAAAGTCTGTCTCCTCCTCTCTCACAAAAAGTAACAGTCTAGTACTAATCCATAAAAGAGGGGGAGGAGCAGTGGAAGGTGGCTGCAGTTGCACAAAGTGTCCCCAGTTCCACATCTGCAGGGAGAAAAGGAATCCAATGGAACTCCAGAACCTTTGTATTAAAAAGAAAAAAAAAATCAAAGTCCATAAACTGGTATCTTCCCGAGTACCAGTCCAGCTTTAGGAGACAAAACCACAAGTTAAGAGAAAAGGACCAAGGCAGAAGTTCCAGTCACTTTCCATGTATTCCATCATACTTCCAGGAAACGGGAACTGCTGGACTTGGAGTGGAAAGGTTCAGACCACATGCGACGCAGATCACCCTAGACAATGTTAAGAAACAAAGAAAGCTCTTCAGAAACAGTCCAGAAATTTCAGCAACTGTTTAAGTCCTCTGTTTTAGGTGTCATCTTAAAGCTGGGGTGTCAACATGCTAGTCATGAGCCACATGTGGCTATCTGGCTGGTTGAGTGTGGCCAATTTGGCTACTGCTTCAAAACTAGTTGAACACTACAGTCTTAAAGAATATTTGCTCTCTCGCTGTTAGGAAAGACTATACTCTGACACAATAAGGAAGAAAATCCTTTCTATCCAGAACAAAGACTTGTGTATTTTTAAAGCTACTCCACCTGATAGATATTTCTGCTGAGAAAATTCAATGGAGAGTGATATAGGGAATTCTGCTTTTGTTGTGCCAGACTGCTTGGAGAAATAGATTTGCATTTCAACAGTCTCTCTAAAACTCAAAACTTCCATTTTCAATTTAAATTCCAAGACTAGTTTCTGGAAGGAAATTGAAGCAGGAAGAATCTGCTCTTCCTCCACATTTAGAACTTGTATTAATTCTCTCATGATGAACAGAATACAGACAAACTCACTAAGCCAGGTCTTGCTTAGATAGAATGGTCCTTACTGCTTTGGAATCAGATCACATGATGGAAGTTTAAAAACATGATTAATCCTATGTCCTAGATAGGAAATCTACTCTTCACAAAACAGTAACTCTTCATATTACCATTATGCTGCATAGCTACAGCAGTGAGAACCCAACTCTCGATCATTAACATCAGTGATACAAACAGCACAGCACATCATATCATATCCTTAGAGCAGGGGTTCTCAAACTTTGTGATACCACGACCCCCCACTAAGTTGCTCGTGACCCCCCTCTAAGTTGCTGCAACTCCCCTCTAAATTGCTCGCGACCCCCCGGGGGGTCGGGACGCAGAGTTTGAGAAACACGGCCTTAGAGGAATCAATGCAATAGAACCTGCTTCCACATTAACATTGCTGCAGCTTCCTGTGCAGGATCCACAACTGAACTAAAACTTCCTGCAGACTATTCGTGCTAATCTCACCTTTAAATAAGCCATGGTGAGGAGTGGCAATAAAGTGAATGGTACCAAATACAGCAGGGCAGGCTGTGCAGCCCGGTGAATTCGAGAAGCCACTGTTGCAGTTAATAGACCTACAAAGAGTTTAACAAAAAAAATATGGTAAGTGTCTACTGGTAATATATGATGTTTTTACTTTTTTAGCCACATCTGGATTCCTCCTTCACAGTTCTGTTACAGGAGAAGCATTAATTAGGAGCCAAGAGACCTAGGGTATATGTCTATCTTTTCTGTGGACTGTGTTTAGCTGCGAACTATGTTGTGTGTGCCTATATTTCCCAACATAGATATGAAAAAATTACATAAAATAATTATTTTATTTAAAATTATTTTAAGATGAGACTTGGTTGTAACCACAATTTCAAGATTTAACAGTCCACAGGTTAACCTAACTATAGCTATAGTCATTAACAAAATAGCTGGAATGGGTTGTTGCACTTTCCAGGATATTAGTCGAGGTTTTCAACCTGGAAGTCTCTAGACTGAAACAGAAGTAGTTTGAGGGTAAAGAGTTCTCATGTCAGGAACCATCTCTCAGGAATTTGTCTGAGGGAGCTCGGGTGGAAGGGAGTGGTTTTTGTTTTGTTGTTTTGTTTTTTGGTAGGGAATGGTCATTCCTATCCATTTTGAAAGAACTGGAGGAGTTAAATTAGGTGCATGCGCCTTGAGCTTTATGGAAGAATTTTTCAAGGGGGGGAGGGAAACCTGCTACATTACAAAAATAACTCCGTAGTTTTACTATTTTGAAGTTCCTACTTTTTCTAGAAGTGTTACAGGATCACGAGTCAAATACTAAAAAGTGTAACAGATGTAGAAAGTTGAGATAGAAGGGCTCATACAGAAATAAAAATTATACAGCTGCACTCTGACCAATCAGGGATTCTTTTCCAGATCCCATATGCAACGCAATTCATCTGGAAACACTTGCATTCCCTCCATAGCCCTGGCCTCAAATCCAATATCTTCCCACGACTGACGTAAACGGTCACAAACTCCTCCAACTCTAATTCAAGCAGTTATTTACAGAGAAAAGGAGATTTTCCCTCAGGTCCACATCCCAACGTCCAAGGAACTTATCAAGGGGAAAAAAGAGGAAGTCCTTCATAACTAGTTTCATTATCTTGTAACCTAATACGACCAGCCAACTCCTGTAAGAAATGCACCTGCTATTCATTTTCTTACCTACAAAGTATCCAATGAGCGTGCAGTGAAAATAGGAGACCTTCTGCATACGTCCAGAGATGTTCCCAGGTCCTGGAGTACCACAGGAATCACTGCTGGCTTGTTTTTTGTAGTTGTCATAACGTAGGACAAAGCAGAGCAGAAGACCTGGCATCACAATGTCTCCAATCCCCAACATAGAGAAGTGGCTGCCTGTGGAACTACATAAAAATTTAAATAGTGTGCATGTCCAAGACATTGGATGACCAAATCTCGACTCCTTAATTTCTTCTGTGCTTCTCTATATGCCACCTGGCATGACTGATCTGACTGGCAGAAGAAAATTGCCAGCTGGCAAAGAGACCTTGTGATCCTATGTGATCCCATCATTACTGCAGTATAAGGCACTCTGAGTTCTGTTTACTCTTTTGGTTCTGGAGGGTCAGATTTCCTGACAATAAGAATCTATTGCTTCATATCAGAACATCCTAATTTGTAGCATTTCAGCCTTTCCAGTTGTGAGAAACCCTGACAGTACTTAGAAGAAATGCATATCAAAAACAGTGAGTGAATTCCAGATGCTTCACTCAACTTTTTCTCTTATTTCTATTTGGAATTAATCTAATGTTTGTGGGAGGTGTTGGACAGTGTTGTCAGCTTAAATTACAGTACTCATTGTCAGCAACAGCAAAATCTTCCTCATGCTGCCCCGCCAATACATCCCAATCCATGCTGTGGAGAACAACTCGAGCATAAGACAACAATTCAATTTATGGTGTAGTCAAACCCCTGATCTCATTTTATAGAGACCACTAAATATTCGTCTGATACTAATGGATTTCAGCTACTTCCCAAATACGAGCCACTAACCAAGAAAAGTGAAGTACAGTTTAAGTAAGTCAGAGAAAAGGACAGCAAGCTGAACAATTTTTTAGTTTCCTCTTCTTGGGGGTAGGGACTGGTTGTCTATGCCTTCAATTACAATATACATGCTGTTCAAAGGAACTGTCTTATTGGATCAGACCCAGGATCTATGTTGCAGTAGGTAGATGAGGAATACATTCTGATCTCTAGTAGTTAATAGATTTGTTAAGTCCTGGAACATGAGGTTTAACAGCTTTTCCTAAATTCTTGTTAATTAATTAATTATAGCAACTCTACATATTTTTTATATCCATATAAATAGCTAATCCCTTTTAAAATCATGATAAAATCTTGATCTTAACTTCCTGATGCAGGTTCACAATTTAATCACATGTATAAATGTATTTCCTTTTATTGGTTTTGAATACAGTTTTCAAATAAGGGTGCACCACTGATTTATGTAAAGACATTTTTTTTTTGTATTTTTCATGATTTCTTTCTTTATGAATCCTAAAACCTTGCTCACTTTTTTGACCACAGCTCGCAACGAGCCACGGTCTTCAATGAGTTGTCTATACTGATACCCAGGTCTCGTTCAAGCATCATTTTAGGACAAGGTTTAGAACAGCAATTTCAGAACACCTTCAATATCTACTTCTAAAAACAGCAAATCCTAGAACACGGGAAGAGAATCTACTTAAGTCGTGGTTCTAAATTACACACAGAAGTTGGATTAGGAAGTAAACAACTGAGCCATTAAAATATATAGACCACAATTAATTAAGCTCAATACTTTGGAGGAAGTATTATACCAAAGAAAACAAGCTACACAACTCAGTTCTAACCCTACTGCAAGAAAAACAGATGTAGCAGTTTCAGAAAGTAGGCAGAAGCCTAAAGAAAAAATGGATAAGACAAGAAAAATATGATTAAACGGTTAGATGCAAGATGTTATTCAAGTTACACAAAACATCCTAAAAAAAAAGGGGGGGGGGGGGGAAAGCCAGATGATATATTATTGCAGATTACAATTTTAAAATAAAAATTGGAGAGGTTATGAAAAATTTTGAAGACCAGGACCAAGAATTCTGAAAGTTGTCAAGAAATGAAGTAGCTGAAATCCCAGAAACAGGCACTCTCTTGACTACTACACCAAAGGACCAGAGGGCAGCAAATATAATTTGAAGGAGCCATATGGAAAGACTGTGAGCTTGACAGGCTAACGCGCCTTTACTTCAAAACTTAGTGAACTGCTAAAAACAGTAATTAAGAAAAGAATTAACCCCCCTAGATGATCATATACGGGTAAAGCAACCTGACTATTGCAAAAACAGAATGTCTATAATTTAGAAAAACTGTTTGAGTAGGTCAAGAAACATAATGGAAAAAAGGGTAGGAGCTGATTGATACTGGAACTTTCAAAAGGAGTCTGAAAAAATATTGTACAAAAAGGTAACAAGCATGGGAGGAACAGAGCTGGGTACTGTGATGATTAGAAACCAGCCAGGACTGTAGTGTCCAACCAGCCACATTGTTCAAAGCCAACTAGCCATACTCAACCGGCCAAATAACTATATGGTAGTTTGTGGCTAGCATGTTGGACGCCATGGAACCAGGAGGAAATAAATAAATAATGGGAATAAATGGTCTATTTTCAACATGGAAAAACATTAGCAGTGGTGCTGCCAATTCCTCATATCACATATTTTCTCACCAGATGTAGTTTATTTAAATATAAATGTAATATAGATTAATTCAGTATTTTAACACATTAAATGCATAATTATGTATTATGCTGAGGACCTGGCTAATGAGTCAAAAAGTTAAAGCAGGAGATTTATTGGTGATAATAATTTAGATTAGTCAAAACTAGGGAAAACTGAGGCTCTTCGGAAGGGACCTAACAAAAACAAGGTGAATGAGCACCATATTGGCAGATGAAAATGAAAACAAAATGTGACATTTACAGAATGAAACAGAACAAACCAAAGCATAAAATCATAGAACACTGAAACTGGAAGGACCTTGAGATCTTCATCAAGTCCAGTCCCCTGCACCCATGGCAGGACAAAGCACCATCTAGACTAGATCCTCCCAGACAGATGTCTATCCAAACTGCTCTTAAATATCTCCAGCGATGGGGTGTGCACAACCTCCCTAGGCAATTTATTCCAGTGTTTAACCACCCTGGCAGTTAGGAACTTTTTCCTAATGTCCAACCTAAACTTCCTTGCTACAGTTTAAGCCGAAGGCTTCTTGTCCTATCCTCAGAGGCCACAGAGAACAATTCTTATTCTTGCTTGTGACACCCTTTTAAATACCTGAAGACTGCTATTATGTCTCCTCTCAGTCTTCTCTTTTTCTAAAATAAAGAAGTCCAATTATTTCAATCTTCCCTCATAGCTCATGTTTTTTAGGCCTTTAATCATTCTTGTTGCTCTTCTCTGGACCGCCTCCAATTTTTCCACATCTTTCTTGAAATGTGGTGTCCAGGACTGGACACAATACTCCAAATGAGGCCTAATCAGCACAGATTAGAGCGGAAGAATGACTTCTCGTGTCTTGCTCACAACACTCCCCTTAATGCATCCCAGAATCATATTTGCTTTTTTTGCAACAGCATCACACTGTTGACTCATTTAGCTTGTAGTCCACTATGACCCCTAGATCCCTTTCTGCAGTTCTGCTTCCTAGACAGTCACTTCCCATTCTGTATGTGTAAAATGGATTGTTCCTTCCTAAGGGGAGCACTTTGCATTTGTCCTTATTAAACTTCATCCTATTTGCCTCAGACCATTTCTCCGGTTTGTCCAGATCATTTTGAGCAGCCTCAGACCACAGGGAGCTTGGACCCCCACAGACAGGGGCTGCTGGCTTCCCATATTGCTGCCTATCAAAGGCATCAGAGTGGGGGAAGGGAGTTAGGGGAGGCTGCCACGAACCAGCCTCAGCTCAGACCTCCCCCCACCACACAGGGACTGCTGCCTCTGTATCAGAAACAGCAGTGCAGGGCAGCAGGTAGCCAGCCTGCATGGGGAGCTGTCTGTTTTCAACTGGCTCCCCTCACAGACTGGCTCCCATCTGGCACCCAGTGCTGCTGCCTCCCAGGGAACTGGCTGCAGAGATCACAGCACAGCCTCCTCCCCAGGAGTGGGGATGGCAGCCCCTGATGGCCCAGCTCCCAGGGAGACAGTTTCATTGCATGCTCTGCAGAATAAAGCTTATTTAAACTTAAATAAGCTTTACGCTGCAGAGACCTCACTGTGTGTAACCGCTAAGATTTTTAACAGCTACAGAGTTGCCTTTTTCGTCCATGTTTTACCCTAGACATTCACACCCCTTTCCAACACAGCCTCGCTGTACTGCTCTGCCCACCCTAGACACCAGCACATTCTTCGCTCCTGATGCCCAGCTGGGGGCCACTCCCCCGTCTCAGACCCTCACATCTGACCCTAACCCTCAGTGGCCCCTCGGTCCTGACATGCATGCACTTGTTTCTATCATCCCAGAGCCCAGGAATCTGTAGGGAGAGAAAGCCTGATGCTAGGTACCGGGGTGCGGTTTTCTGCATGCTGCCTTCCTCCTTCAGAGCAGGGATGTTCAATATCGGTTAGCTGAATAGTCAATTAGCCTCATGAATTCTTATTGGTTACTCGACTATTATAGTCTCCGGGGGTGGGGCCAGCAGCCAGTGTGCTCCCAACCCCACACCTGAGGAGCCACTGCCACTTCACACTGCTGCCTCTGCATCAGATACTGCAGCATGCAGTGGCAAGGGGACCTGGCCGCGAGGAGAGCCATTTTAAAAATCAGCTCCCCTTGTGGACCAGCTGCCTATCGTTCTGTGCTGCTGCCTCTGATACAGAGACAGCAGCAGCATGGGGTAGTGGCAATCCCTGACCGGGGGAGAAAGGATCTGCGTTCCCAGGGCTGGAATGAGCTGGAACTGAGCCAGGCTGCCTGCCCACCTGGCTCCTAATACACTTCAAATGGAGGGCTGTAGCAGGGGTAGGTCCCGGACCTGGCACAAGCTAGGAATGAGCTGCGCTGCTGGCCAGCTGGCTAAAAATGCGCTGTCGGGAGGCGTGGGATGTGTGGAAATGCATGTAGTTTACAGCATAAACTGATAAGCTTTTGCTTATGGGTTAATTGGTTACTCAACTACACTATTACATCTCTACTGCAGAACATGCTGGGAGCTGCAGCTGCTGGGAACCCCTCCACCTCCCTTCCCTTCCCCCAGACTTGTCTTCAATTTGCAAGGTGGACTCTGGTGGACAACATCTCTGCTGTCAGTTTCTGTGGGCAAAAAAGGAAATTCTGCATGCCCATTATTAAACTCTGCATTGTCCTGTGTTGCAGGATTTCTACAAGTAACAATTGAAGAGAAAGTGACCAGGAACAGGAGCTTATGTCTATAAACTTTTGCAGCCTCACTGCTATCTTTTGTTCTGTAGTACAGTATAAAAGTTGCCATTCTTACCTTGGAAATACAAGTTTGCCGGGCAGTGACAGGCGGGGAACATCTCTACCTACATTTGGTCCCAGATGTAACTTCCGCGATAAAACATCAAGGGGATTATCAGCTGGTTGTGTGGCCACTTTCACCATAACATTGCTATTAAAGATGTAGGCAGAAAAAAACACCTAAGGAGTAGAAAAATAATTACAGACCAAGCAAACTTCAACTAGAAAGCAACTCAAATATGTCATTCTCCCTGGTCACTCCTCTGGCTTCTGCTCTGTCCAAGGGAAAAGGAAATACATATATGGGAACTGCCTGTAGGATGGGGAAATAAAAGCAAGAGTTGCAAGGGTTTAAATAAACAAAATTTTGGTTGCAGATGTTCTCAAGAAGACTGAACATGACACTAGCATACTAGAATATTAATGTTAAATCACTGGTTGGGCACTGAGGCTGTAGAAAGCTAGAAAGATTTGGGATGTCTTCTCTTTGAACAGAGGCACTCAGAGTTTGCAGTTTTCCATTCAGGAACAAATAGCATCTTATAATACTAAACCCCAGCACTTGTTGGCAAATAGTTACCCTGAGCCAGTAATTAAAACAGTTAGCTATTAATGCGGATTGGACACCAACATTTTCAGCACTGTTACAAACGTGTGTTAAAAAAATGGTAACAGAGCCGGTGTAACTAATCTGAAAATGATCTTTTCCCCATGTATACCAGCAGATAAACCAGTTTTGAAAATTGCTTAAGGATCCCAATGTAGGTAACCACATTCAGTAAGAGACTGGCTTCCTAGTGTACACGAGGCTTCACTGTTGTTTAGATATGTTCAATCTGGTCTGCAGCAGCAACACTGTTTTTATTTTCCAGTCTGTTCTCTCCCTCCCACTCCCCATAATATGCCATGATTGAAGCATGTAACAAGTTTTCTGCATCCTACTGCACACTTTTTAAATAAGATTCAGAACTAGCCAAACTGAGTTAATCTTCTGGCTTTGACAGAGCTCAAAATTTTCTATGTTCAGTTTTGTTTTAGTTGACAAGAATGAAAGGGCCAATTATAATATGAAAAAAGGAGTTTTAAAAAGGAATGGCGACTTACCCAAAATACATCATAAATTAGTAACCCCGAAAGCAGCAAACAGGAAACCTTGAGGCTCGGCAGCCGAACAAAGGCAATCATTGCAACACACAGGCCCATCGCCAGAGCTACAAAACGATAAAGTACATAATTCGTTTAGTATTCAGAACTTCAAAACCAGGTAAAGAAAGCTAATATATGCAGCTAGATAGTCATCTAGTGCATAGTAGCGATGTTAAAATCCATTTATTCACCTACATTTGTAACCACTTAAAATGGAGCCACCTGCTCTCCCTCTCCCTGCACTGCTGCCTCTGTATCAGGGCTCGCTTAAAAGCCAGATCCGTGCAAGCACTGGCTCCCGCATTTAATACAGAGGTAGCAGCATGGGAGAGTGGAGAGCACATGTGTAACTATGCACTTTAACCGATGAGCCTAGGCTTGTGGGTTAACCATGTACGCATTTACACTTTCACATCCTTAGCACATACAACACTAAGATCCCATGGTCTCTTCTCCCAGAGCTGAGATGATAGGTAGAAAATCAAATATTCAGTATTTATGCTTGACAGACTACAAATACTCATAGTAACAGGCATAGGGTATTCAGAGCCATCTCACATAACTAAACTTCAGTTATCTACAACAGGGTCGTGGACCCACAGGGTATGCCCTACTGCAATCAAAAGTATGACTGCAGCTCAGGCAGGCATTCCCATGCAAGTTTTAATGTAGCTAGCACATCTAAAAATAGCAGGGAAGGTTTAGTGGGCTGTGGCCCAGATCAAGACACAGCCAGCGATATGAAAACGTACCTGTGTTACTAGGGGGACATATACAACCTTCAACGGAGCCCATGGCACTTTGCCTTCTCTATTTTTAGCTACGTTAGCTTGACTGAAACTAATACAGCTATGCCTATACAAGCTGAAATCTCCACTTCAATTGCAGTGTAGACATACCGCACAATGTCCGGAGCATTAATGATTTATCATCATATGAAATCTTGGTTATTTAAACTTATTCAACTTCTCCCCATAATGCCTGATTTTCTAAAATTAGACAAATTATTGTGACATTACAGTCATGAGTTAAAATTGGAGACCTCATAACAAGAATGATGTCAATGGCATTCCCTTTGACTCCTAATAGTTTACATGCTACCGTCTGATACATCATACATACATACTTCCCAAACTGGACATAAGAGTGTTTGTTTTTTTAAAAGTTTGGGCTTTTCTTTAAGAAATGCACTGGGCTGAATAACTGAAAATGTAAATCTAAACTTAAACTTCAGGGAAATTAAAAACTAAGGCAGGGTTACTCCACCTTCATCTTGATTGCAAAAAAAAGGGGGGAGATGGAAGGGGGACATTTAGAGAACTGTAACATACAGACTGTTCAGGATGAAGCACTGGAAAGTGATGAAGTAACCAGCTACTGGCTTTGTTCAGTGTCTTCATCTTGTTATCCAATCCAAGAAGGCAATATAGTCGAGAAGCAGAAAGCTACAAAAACTACTCTCTCTCAAACCGGAAAGCAAATGTTTTCTCAAAGTAAGAGAAAAAATGTGCATGTGTTCTGTGGTTGGTGGGTTGGCAATCGCAAAGAAATGGAGAGGAGGCATTCGATCTCCTGCAAAATATTTGAATGGAGGAAAAACTAAGGATCATCACATCTTTCTGCCCTTCTGTTATCCAAGCACTGCTTTCACTTCTCTGAGCAGGTTCAATTTCAACCTCATGTATGGAAAGTCCAAAACTTGTACAATTAATAAGCACTTTAATCAATGTTCATTCTGGGATCTCAAAGCATTAAATTCTAACAGCTGTAATTGAGCCTCATGAGGTACACAAGACATTAGACAGTTTCACTGAAAAGCAACCACTACAGATATGGACTAGCAGTTAATAGGACACAAACATCCAAAGCTATTTAGAAAAGGAAGTAAATACTGCTGACCAAATTAAAATACAGGAGAAATTTACACAGGAGGACTATAATTAAAGTGAGAACTTGACTAAGTTAAGATACATGAATTAATATCATTGTTCTTGCACACAAAGCTGCAAGTTTTCAGTACAAGTGGTAAGCATCTTGGAATCACATTTAATCTGAAAGCACAATCTTTCTAACAAGATGCTGGAACAATGGCTCAGTACTAACTCACAAGAAATACAGCAACCAATGCATTGCCAACATGATTTCCCACAACACTCAGGGGTTGAAGTATCTTTTAGCTAAGTAATGACCTATTTAGCTTGTGAAAGCTGACCGGGTCTAAATAGCACAACGTGGTATTGCTGAAGGCTTTAATAATTAAATTAACCAGATAAAATATATCTGAACTATTGTGGCATAAACTGCAACTAAAAACAAGCAAATTTCTGAGGGCTAAACAATTTGACACATTTAAGCATCAAAGAAACATCATGGATTCAGTAACTGACATGACAGTAAATACAAAAGAACATCCTGTCTTAAGTCAGTTAAGAGATTTACCTAAAGCCCAGGTTCATATTAGGCTGTCTATTTTGAAGAAAGGATTTCAGCTTATGATTAGCCTGAAATGGAAATAATGCCAGAATTTATTCTTAATGTTTGTTATTCATCTTTATCTCCCCTAGTGTGGCCAAAATGCAGGCATTCATGTATGACGACATGATTAAAAATGCAGAAGCTAGGAAAGGAAACAAAACCCGGTTCCTGAATTAAGGCTGAAATAGATCTTCATAGATTAAGACCAGACAACATGTTAGTAAATTATGCAGCTATTTGGGAAACATTGTTAAGATGTTAAAAATGCTCTCACTGTTGTGTCTCCAGAAGGTGATTTTTGGCGACAAAACCTGGTAGCGCAGACAAAGCCTCCTATTGGAAGCCTTGAAGTCCTACCACTTTTCCGTCCTCCAGGCAGTGACTAAAGATGAAGCAGCCCAGGAGGGCCCTACAAAAGGGAGCTGCCATGCCAGAAAAAGGTCCACCCCTGCTGGAAGTAGAGAAGAGCAGAGGGTGCTCCTGAATGGTCAAAGGGAACTGCAGTACAACACTCAGTGCTAGGAAGGACTAGGGAACCAAGGAAGAGTTCCTGGCAGCTGCTGGGCCTGAACTTAGAGAAGCCTTGAGCTAAGGGTAAAGCATTTGTGAACACTTGGGCTGTGGGGAAGTTGTCTAGGGAACTGAAGGCATTTTTGCTAAGGGGACACAGCTGCTATTCTTAAGGTCCCTAGGTTAGGATCTGTATTAGGTGAGGGGTCCAATTCTCCCCCACCGGCTTGTGAGGAAGGTACTATAACTGTACAGCAGAAAACTCCCAGAAAGGAACTGTACTGTCCATAGATCCAACTTTCTTTGATAAGATAACGAGCCTTGTGGATAAGGGAGAAGCGGTGGATGTCATATACCTAGACTTTAGTAAGGCATTTGATACGGTCTCGCATGATATTCTTATTGATAAACTAGGCAAATATAACTTAGATAGGGCCACGATAAGGTGGGTGCATAATTGGCTGGATAACCGTAGTCAGAGAGTGGTTGTTAACGGTTCTAAATCCTGCTGGAAAGGGATAACAAGTGGAGTTCCTCAAGGGTCTGTTTTGGGACCCATACTGTTCAATATCTTCATCAATGATGTAGATATTGGGATAGAGAGTACGCTTATTAAGTTTGCAGATGATACCAAACTGGGTGGGGTTGCGACTTCTTTGGAGGATAGGGACATAATTCAGAATGACCTTAGCAAGTTAGAGAAATGGTCAGAGGTAAACAGGATGAGGTTTAATAGAGAGAAATGCAAAGTGCTCCACTTAGGAAGGAACAATCAGTTCCATACATACAAGATGGGAAGCGACTGTCTAGGAAGGAGCATGGCAGAAAGGGATCTAGGGGTCATAGTGGACCACAAGTTGAATATGAGTCAACAGTGTGATGCTGTTGCAAAAAAAGCAAATATGATTCTAGGTTGTATTAACAGGTGTGTTGTAAGCAAAACTCGTGAAGTCATTCTGCCGCTCTACTCTGCACTAGTTAGGCCTCAGCTGGAGTACTGTGTCCAGTTCTGGGCGCCACATTTCAAGAAAGATGTGGAGAAATTGGAAAGGGTACAGAGAAGAGCGACAAGAATGATTAAAGGTTTAGAGAACATGACCTATGAAGCCAGGCTTCATGAACTGGGCTTGTTTAGTTTGGAAAAAAGAAGATTAAGGGGGGACATGATAGCGGCTTTCAAATATCTAAAAGGGTGTCACAAGGAGGAAGGAGAAAATTTATTCCTCTTGGTTTCTGAGGACAGGACAAGGAGTAATGGGCTTAAAGTGCAGCAGGGGAGGTTTAGATTGGACATTAGGAAAAAATTCCTAACTGTCAGGGTGGTCAAATATTGGAATAAATTGCCAAGGGAGGTGGTGGAATCTCCCTCTCTGGAGATATTTAAGAACAGGTTAGATAGACATCTGTCAGGGATGGTGTAGACGGAGCTTGGTCCTGCCTTGAGGGCGGGGGGCTGGACTCGATGACCTCTCGAGGTCCCTTCCAGTCCTATGATTCTATGATTCTATGAACTGGACAGCTAGGGTTGGGACAGAATAGACTAAAAGAGCAAAACCATTGTCTCCAGGAAGGAAACCTGCGGATATGGCCCAAAACTAGGGCTAGTGCCACTTTAAAGAGTGCAGATGCATCAAACTGGGGAGGTGGAGGAGAGAGAGACTTGCAAGAGGTGGGTGCCAGGTCAATGCAGGGACCGATTTTAATTATTCTTAGACATGGGGATTTGTTAGACAGTGAATATGATTCAAGGATCCTTAAGAACTTGGTGTGCACTTCATTTAGTAATTTTTGTATAGATTGTTAAATTTCATAAATATGGCAAAGTTCCTAAGATCCCTATTTCCGCAATTAGAAGGGAGACAGTTTAAGCTTTGTTACAACACAGCAATCTTTCAATCACTAGTTCATCAAACTGCTGTGGTTTGAAGGCTGGAAAGCAGAAGCCACAGAATATTACATAAAGTGGCAGATGCAATTTCCCCTCTACCTTCCCATGAAGGAACAACTGGTGGTCACTGAAAGAAACAAGATACTGAGCGTGACTGAAGTTTGCTCTTAGTGAGGTAAATCTTATGTTTCT